AAGTAATCAGCATTTTTGGCTATAAGACTACGTCTGGTCAGTGAGCAAATTGTTCCATTCTTCCAATGATAGTACAGTTTTGGTGAAGACCCTCTTTTCTACCTCACTCTCCACCGAAAAAAAGGAATCTTGCCTACCAAATTCTCCTTTAAACCTTTCACTGCCAAGATCTCCTTACTTTCTGTCGCACAAATTCTTCTGATGTTAGTTGGAAAAATTTGGTATTGTATCAACTAATAATCCCCTCATTGATATTTTTCTTTATTTTCATCACTTATCTTCCTGATATTGTATTTATATTGTAAGGAGAAATTCTGTCTTGGTCACTCACGGGTTAAAATTATATTTGTTTTCATGCACATGCCACTTTTTGGAAAAACTAACTACTGGCAGTAACTGAGACTCAAACTTTGTTTAAAAACAAAACTTGCAAATGATCATAAAATCATTACAATACATAGTCATTAATTTTTTACTCACCTACAGAAGCAGACAACACAAAGAATGACTAAAATGACCAAGACAGCCACTATAGGAACTGCTATGTATAACACCATCTTCAGAGTTTTCTTTGAGGAACCTGGCAGGGGAGAAATATCCAGGATAAGCCATTAATTCTAGGAAAGAAGCTTACCTGTTCTGGTTTTGATACTGTATACATGTAGGCTAGCAAGTCTACAAAAATATCAAATCATTCTGAGTTGCAGAGAAATTTTCTGAAATTAGAAATTACGCAATAAGTTTTTGTTACCTGTTTCCCCTTCAGTTGGATGAATTGTTGACACTAATAAAGAAAAGAGAGAAAAAAGGGAAATATTGAAATTAAGAAATTGCAAATCTCAGTCAGTGAGTATGTTGCCCTTTTTCCATATTAAGCTACTGACCAAATGAATACACAAACATAACGTTAATTGAAGGTAATGGTAACCTAAGGCTAAGCATGTGTGCATGGGTACTGGTTTCTGCATCTAGACTTTGAAACTAGTTTTCAAGACCCCTACTGGTCTAAGCAATTTTTCAATTTTAAGAAACTTGACACATGTACACTTGCTGTTTCCACAATACCTTAATTTGGGCAACTGGGTTTTGAAAGGTTTTGTTCTGTTGGATTTTGTTTGTCTCATTTTTTTGCACCTTTGCCTTAGCACACATTACACTGTAAACCCTGCATATCTCACAATCTAGAATTCTCTTATCACTAACAACTTATAAAACTTCTAAGCTCAATTGTGCATCCTAGAGTTATGGAAATAAACTGATTCTGCAACCAGTTTCACAAGCTACCTCTACAACAAAGTTTCAGTAATACTGCAGTTACGTTTACAAGTATGTGATTAAACACATGTAAGAATAATAAACTTGAGTGTGATACCCTTTGTTTTGACAAAAACTTCAGCAAAGTTCCAGACATCCCTGTTTTGTTCCTGTCGATTCAACTCATTCACTGAGTAAACTCGAAACAGAAAGTAACTGGATGATGGTAAACCGTTTATAACAACGTCAACGCCACTGATGTTTTCTTTACTTGGTGAATATTGCACGTTCAGGTTACACTGCTCATCACAGTTCTTGTCTTCACTCGATGTGCATCTAAAGCAGTCTACAGCATAAATTAATTCACCATCATCCAAATCATCTGGTGAGCGCTGCCAACTGATCTCAACAGCTGTTGCCTTGACAACAGTAGCATTAGCCATGAGTGGGGCTTTTGGCAACTCTACAAGCAAACAAAACATGTTATTTGGAAACTTGTACACATACATTTATACCCTTGAACAACTAAATAATGTATATGAATACTGATGAGGAAATGGTAGCCCAGAAACTTTGCTTTACACAAATGAGCTTCTATCAGATTCATAGCCAGACTTTTATAACAAAAGGAGTCCTTAACTGCACTGGTATCTCACTTAATTATCATTTTAGTGCATGATGATTTTATCATTTATTATATTTTTTTATTTATCAGTTTGAGACAGAGAAGTTTTCCCACGTACCCTAATGGTTTCCCTCTACCCCCTACCCCTCCCCCCACCACCTCTAACCCTTTAACCCCTAAGAGTGACTAGCATCTAACTTCTCCTTACAACATCACCCTTGAATCAAAAATTACATGTACATAGTTACATACATACAGACAGACACAGACACACACACACACACACACACACACACACACACACACACACACACACAGGTTAATTGACAACTCCCCCATAGCATTTTTTAGGGCCATTCTTACAACACTGTGCCCCATCCATCCCACCCCAGGGGAGGACATCCACCACACAGTAATCTTGAGCGTGGGACATTAACATCTCCTACCCCTAACCCTGCAGGAGACGGGGCCTACGGTTTATTCGTCTGTATCCGAGAAGACTAGAATATCTATCCATTTCTTGATATTATAGAAGGAAGCAAATTCTCCTCAGTTATTTTAAGACCATGAGTATTGGTCCAGCTGGGGCTTGAACCCTCGACCTCCCACACAACACAATCTGGCACTCTAACCAATTGAGCTAACCAGGGGTGGTTAAATTAAGGTCAAAAGAATAAAGGCAATGATCACAAACTAAATAAGCTCTTGATTGTTACACAAATTCTCGTTGCCAGCAACAAAGGAAATGTAAAGAGACCAGGATGGAAAAAAATAATTAATAGATACTGTTAAGGTGTAACTTGATAGATATTTTCAGCTCACAATAGAATTTGACACTGCAGAACCTTTAGTTCCTTTGAACAATTTGAATTTCAATTTGACAACTTTGAAATGATCCTCTGCAAATAATTATTAGAACTTTTATTATTGCTAATGATTACAACTACAAGACTATATCAATTATTAGTATACTGTACCTTCACAATCTGTCCTATCAGATGATCTATAGTAACCTTCTTTACATATACAACCAGTTCTGCCAGCATTAGATGCCGAATTTGTAGGACACAGCAGACATTTTGTATTATCAACAGTATCCTTGTAGAAGCCAATCTGACACTCTAAAATAAACCAATACACAATTTCATCAAAATGCTTTTTGTGAACTACACATCAAGACAGTCAAACACAATGACCCTGTAATGTCCTATAAGCAAATGACTCCTGTCAGACACAGAAACTGACAGATATTTTGATCAACAGAGTCATGTTTACCCAGATTTCTTGTGATATCCTCACCTTCATAAGGACTTGTATGATGATTTTCACTCAAGTTGTCAAAAAAACATGAATATAGATGCAGTTACATTTGAATCCAAACCTGAGTTTTTCAATCAAAATGCATTCACCTAAATTGCTATAACTACTTGTGAAACTATATTAAAATACCAATATATCCAATTCATTAAAATTTTGATTCTTTTCAAAAATTTTTCCATATGTTCATTTTCTTTGTTCCTTTTTCTTGTCTACTGTCCCTTAAAAAAGCCTTATGAGGAACTCGATCCCTTGCTTGGACAATCACATTATACCAATGACTGTTACTGTGCAACAATTTATATGTTTGGCTTCTGATAAAATTTACATGAACATGTAAAGCAAGGCCAAACAGCCCATGCATGCATGTTCATGTCAATTAACACATATCACACCTTTAACAGGCTTTCTATCAAATGATGAACAAATAGGGTGGTGAGTATATGCTTAACTGCATATACATGTACACCCTTGCATGTACCAGGGGTTTCATTAAGGGCCGGGCACCAGCCAAATTGACCGGTTGTAAGGATGGTTTTGCCCACCTGGTTTAACAAGCTGGAGGAAGGTTTATCTTATAAAGGAGTTTAGTTCAAAAAGTCTTGCCCGCCTTTGAAAACCAGTTGCCCTCCTGCTGAAAAAATTAATGAAACCCCTGATGTACCCATTTAAATGCTAAAATATTTATCGTGGACCCTATACACTATCAGGGCAAGCCCCTGTTTTAAGTACAGCACAAACCTTTACATGCCAAAGAGTCTGAAGATCCATTGGCGAGTTCATAACCATAGTTGCAAAAGCAGGCTGAGTTATCTGTAATGTTCCATTCTCCATTACTAAGGCACACACCGAATAACTTTTTGTTCAGTCTTTGACGTGAGTTAGGATCTGTACATTCTCCTTCTTGTTTAGTTAAATTGATATCATTTGCTGGCGCAACTGTTCTTGGAAATCTGACTAAAGTAGCACCCCTTTCAGAGCAGAAGCGATATTTTACAGCAAAGCTTATAATTGTCACACAACTTCCTTGGTCTAAGAATGCAAAATAAATTCCTTTTCCTTTAGTTACCACTGACCCATAAAATGTGTCTGTTGTAAACTGATCTGGTGCTGGGAGAGTTTCTGGAATTATAACAATTTCTTTCTGAAACTTCACTCCAGGTTTTGTTGGATCTGGACCAGCAACTGGTTTTACATCGGTATGATAAGAATAAAGGGAGAAGCTTGTTCTGCAGAATGGTCCCACCTCAGCTAAGGGGCAGTTACGAAGGGAAAAAGTCACTTCAATATCAAGTCGTTTAGCATTTTTGATGTCAATAAAATCTGTTAACAACCAGTTCTTTGGTTCTTTAGTAATATCCTTAGCAATATCACAGACTTTGTATGTTGGTGATGCAGTTGAAGGATGGCTCCACTACAAAAGAAGGAAAATTTCAATCACTGAAGAAGCTAAGTAAAACATCTATTCTGCAAGTGATAGATCAGTGCACAACATAGCTATAGGCACACAGCACTGTTAATTTCTCCCATATACCTATAGTATACAGTCATGTATATCAAATGAGTGCAAAACATTAAGAGTTGGGCCAATAAAATCTTTAAGGTTACAGTAGACCTTCAGTGGTTTCTCTGTAAAATTGTTTGTTATGTATGTGTGTCACCCTTGAAAAGTATTTATTGCTGTAAGCTGAAAAAATGTAGAAAGAATGACAAGTTTTCAGTAATCTGATTCTTCTGTTTGTGCAAAGATTTCTGGGATTACCAAGGGGCACACATTTAAAGTGGCTGGAGGAAATCTGTGGCAATTAAGAGATTGTTTTGATGTTGAGAAAAATGATATTTGAGGGAAGTCATTGCTTTTTACCACATCTTATCAGATGTTGATACCTGGGACGTTTCTGTTTTTCATTAATTAACCACGAAATAGGATTTGAATTATGCAGAAAAACTTCTCTCCTTATTATATAAGTTACAATCAAACCAAGTGAAGTGTACCCCTCAAGATTACATCTAATGAATTTAGTGTTTGAATATTGAACCCACTTGTACTGTTTCAAGAATGCATGCAATAATATATTGACTATTTAATTACCAGTATTGAACAGCTACTAGCTCATACAAATAACCAATTCATAAATGTAATCTTTAGGGGTATGCTTCACTTGGTTTGACTGTAATTGTGATATTGCACACAAGTCATGCCAAGTGCTCTATAAGAAATAAATTATTATTAAAATCATTATTATTTATTTCCTTCATTTTCATGATTTCAGTGAAACAACTTAGTAAGTAATTAGTCCATATGTACTATGTTTCTTGGAATGGTTTAGCTTCTCTTGTTTACTTCATTTTCATTAGTTTAGTGTAACTACTTTGTAAGTCAGATTTTTACTCCCGTGGCTTAATTACCACATTTTGTATTTCCTCTGTCAACAGGAGTTCCTGTGCTCAGTTCCTAACTGAGCACTCCAAATTCAAGATTGTTAGCCTAGACAGATGTGTTGCATACGGCACTTACCAGTATTCACAACACACGTTGTAATCCTATCCTGGACCCATTGAGCATGGGTCAGTTTCAATTATTTTCTTCTACAAAAGTCTTTCATCCCTGTTTTATTTACCAATGCTTTGTAGTAACTATGTTGTACCTTTGTTTTACCATCGATGTTTTCATTTCCATTTTATTCATGTGTGTTTTCGTTTCTTTTTTAGAATGTGATGCCTGGCAGTTTACCACCATGTCTTGGGGCAGAAAAACAGGAGAGTGATTCCAGCATGCATTGTGAAAGCCACATGCAACACATTTCCTGATGCAAGTGGCCAATATTCAGGCTTTAAGCTCCCAGAGCTAAATTTAAATTGAGGTAAACAATCCTGGATTTAAAACAATGATTAAATTTTGAGATCAAAATGCAATCTCAATCATAATAAGTTCTTGACAACAATAAAATTTGCCATGCAGCCCTTTCGTAAATACACCATTTTGTGTTCCAAATTCTTGAAGAAATTTTTCTTTGTTTTTCAGTGAAACTTTCCAATTCAACGTAATATAATTATGTGAAAAAAATAATGATAACTTTAAGTAACAGATTTCAATGTTGATGTATTTTAGTTAAATTGCAAACAACCTTACTCTTAAAATTTGTCATCGCTACATTTGGTGCTGTGAGATGTACATGTCAATCGGTACTTGCAGTAAAACAATTAATTCCCGGTAAGAGCTTTACAATGTAAAAAGAAGTTCACATACTAAAAAATATTTCCACATCCATTATGAAATGAAATAGGAAGCTATTTCTGGTTCTTTCTTGTCATTTGATTCCTTTTGTAAGGGAAGCCACATGAAATCACATGGGTTATGTTGAAGAAACCCTAACAACTCCCTGTTGTTATCTGACATGAAGAAGTTCACCCAGTGTGTGCAAAATAAAGTATGGATACTACAAAAATGCATTTCTCTAGTACATAAAAAAAGGGACAACTTTTTATGTGATTTTTTTTAACAACTCACTAAACTGAACATGGGATTGTGTACAACCGCATTGAGTTTTGCCATCAATTTCTCATCCGCAAAACTGCTGAGCTAACAAGGATTGCAAATATCTTCCATATATGAAAGTATTTTATGTATCCAAAACTTGATAACTGGGGGAAAGAAACAGACCGTGGATGGCAATTCGGTTTGCACAAGTTGAAAGATCGACTAAATAAACAATACAGAGACATTCACCCACTGATTCATGACATCCGCAACACATCATAAACATGCCTGATGAGAATATTAATTTTTTTTGTAGAAAACAACTGATACTATTTCATTTTCGTAGTTAATCCCCCTTACAAGCCATGCATGCAACTTCAATAACTATTAACCATACCAAAGTTCTGTAGGAAGAGTACGAGGCTATTATATCTTTCAATCTTCCCCACCAGTGACGTAAGAGCAAACTAATTAAAAATAACTGCTGACATCGCTTTTCTGAGCCACCATACTATGAGGCCAAAATACCAATTAAAACTATTTTTTTCGAGGTGAAGTTGGGCCCAAAGACTGAAAAAAAAAAATGTTTGAACATTGATATTTGAACTATAAGCTCCAATAAAAAATGATTCAATTTTAGGCTTCAGTTCTCCTTTAAAAGCCTTGCTCCACTGTAGGATAACATCGTATCCCCAGATGTACTCAAATCAAAATGATTTTGCTTTAATTTATAAACTTAATTGTCTCGCTGTTTCTCAATTAATCTTTTATGGAATCACATCTTGACAGAGCTAAACAAAAGCTAATTCTTCTTTTATTGGGAGGGGAGATAATTTGATGGTCTTGAAATGTTAGAAAATCAGCTATAAAGTGCTATGAATAACTCAATAAAGCCTTTTTAGTTGCATTTATGATTGCAAAGTCTACTTGGCTTGGTAATACAAAGGAGCACTACAACAGCTTCCTCAAGGCAGTGGGATATTGAAATTGTTGACCTCATTATAAGTATCATGATACCTTTAAGTTAAGAACCTACTGCTATTGTACATTGCTTCTTTGTATTGCTGGATGAGAATGAATCCGCATTGATAATTGCGGTTCAAAATGGAACCATTTTTTCTGCACAATATGCATGGGAACAAATGGGTTGTTTGAGGAGTGATACACAAGAGAATACCTTCCGAGGAGTTCAAAGAGGAGAGCTTGAAAAAATCTTAGGGTTTTTCTCAAACAAACTAGAACTGGACCTACTGATTTCTTCATGATTCTCATAGCTTATTTAATCCCTCAAAAGAGGAACAGCTCAATAACAATAAATATCTTGGATCATGACATAGTGCAGTTCACAATTTGTGTAAGCCACACAACAAATTCTATTTCAGCTGATATGAAATTGACTACTGTCCTTTAAAGATGAGGTAAAACTCTGTGGGTGTCCCTTACAAAAAGATATTTTAACATGCTCTTTGAAGCATAAATTAACCACCATAAACTATAATTATATAAATGGAAAGGTAAGGAGATGCCACAATTAATGTAAACCAAATAGAGTGCAATCTTCAGAAATGGACGATGTTCCATTGAGCAAACTGCATAATGTATACAAAATCTGACCACATAAATAAAACTTCTGCATAATTTCAATCCTAAAGGGATTGGTCTTCAAAAACATGTAGGAATTTTTAGATATTGTTATTGGTTGCTTTGCAATTTATCTGTCTTGACAAGTTTGTTTAGCAAAATTTTATCAATAGGCATAATTAAAAATATAACGTGGTAGGTCATTGCTGGGGATTGACACTACCTTTTCAACTTACTAGCCAAGTGGCTAGTGACATCTTAGATTTTACAACAATTTCAGTTTATTTACTAACCAAACTGGCTGGTTGAAATCGAAAACCACTGGCCAAAATTGAAGTTCTACTAGTCTGTGGCTAGTGGGCTGCCATCAGTGTTGAGCCCTAATTGCAAGAGATCCATATTCACTATTAGATGAGAACCTGTGAAAAACCTGTGAAAAACCTATGAATTTTTCTGCATGTGAAAAAACCTGTGAAATACTATTTTTCGTGTGTTTTTTCAAAGGTTTTTCACAGGTTTTTCACAGGGTGTGAAATTTTGAAACCCTGTGAACAGGGCACTAATTTCACAGGGTAAAACACCTGTGAAAAAATCTGTGAAAAAATCTGTGAAAAAAACTGTGAAATAAAACCTGTGAAAAAACCTGTGAAAAAGAATCTTGTTCTGGGGCTTTTTCACATGTTTTTTCACAGTTCTTAAAATTCACAGGTTTTTTCACAGGTTCTAAATTTTGTGATTTTTCACCAAAATTTAGCCCTTGCAAAATTCACAGGTTTTTTCACAGGGTGTTTCTTTGTCAGAGGATATTTCAGATGTTGTTCACGGGTTTTTCACAGGTTCTCATCCAACAGTGATATTGAACAACAGAATTTCCCCCTACAAAGTTTCCCAACAATTCATGCACCCCATTCAATTTAAAAGAAAGCCACTCAATGTGAAGGTGAGCCATTCAAATTGAAAGTAAGAAATTTAGTTCAATCGGTAGTAAGCCATTCAATTTGAAAGCAAGCCATTTAGTTTAATTTGGCAAGGAGCCATTCACTTTGAAAGCAAGCCACTCAGTTCGGCAGTAAGCTATTCTATTGAAAGGTGTATATATAGCCCATTCAGTTTGGTAGTAAACTAGTCAATTTGCAACTGAGCGCACTCAATTTAAAGTGAACCATTAAATTAGTGAGCTTACAAAAGGACCTCTTGTTGCAACGATTGGATTACCCCTAATGAGGGCACAAGACAGGAGTGTCAAAACCTTGGGTCTATTAATTGTAACTTCTCTGTTACATTCATTCAATCATATAACCAGCATCAAACATTGGCTATTCTTCTTTTTTGGAAATTTGTAATGTTTTGCATTATGATATATAGATCAATAGATCAATTTCTATAGCGCATTTCCATGTAAATGCTCTAATGCGCTTTACAACACTGTGCGGGGGACTTTTCCAGACTGCCGGCGGCAGTTTACAATTAATAAAGGAGAAATTTTTACAGATGCCCCCTCCCCCCCTTCCCAGTAAACAGGCCAGACCACATCACAGTAATCTCGTGATGTGGGTTCTTTAACGTCCCTTGCCGAAATTAACTAATTGATAGGTGCAGGAGACGGGACCTCCGGCTTTACGTCCTATCCGAGAAGACGAAGCAATGTGAGTGAAGCGTCTTGCTTAAGGACACAACGTCAAGCCCCAGCCAGGACTTGAACCCGGGCCATCTGACCTAGAGTCCAGCACACTGACCACTGGACTACTCACGCCTCACATGATTAATTGATAATAATACTTTGAATTGTCCAATTCGGCTGTGTGTAATTGTACACATGATAAACAAATCAGACTCCCAATTATAATGCACAATTATTTGATTTCATTATCATTCATATGATTACAGTGACCAAATTGGCTTCCACTCAGTCCTATTACCATGTTACTGAAAATATTAATTGTGCTATACTCTGTTATTTTGGGGTAAACTTCATCCAAGGACTTGACTTTAAATGACTTTTTTAAATATTTTGTGAGTCTAAATAAGTTTTCTGTTTTGCAACAGTTAGCTGGCCACCAACAAAGGTGAATTTTGGAGCAAGAGCTCCTCCAAAAGTAAATAACACGAACCCAGTGAAAACAGAGAAGACTGGTACAAAATCCTGTAGAAATTCATTGCCACATTTTTTGTTTGGGTTTCCCAATAAATTGATAGCTGCTAATTTTGCCAATGGTTTCCCCATACCTCTCTGTGGGTTGGCTGGTTAGCACTTTGTGATTTTTTCCTTTATCTCACAGTCAAGATCCTTTCACCTATATATTTCACTTAATTCACTTAATTCCCCATAATGTCGAATTACAATTGGTCTGTGGTATAATAATATGTTTCTGGAAAATTTTAAAAGGTCAGTTTTGTTTCTAACATTTGAGGGTTTGAAGCTTTTGTTTCAATGGATGGCAGCAAGAGAGGGCTAGCAACTGCTTTGATTAGGAGTGATAAGCTTGTAAAGCTGTAGGAGCCAAAATCTCAAGCTTTGATTTTATGGCAGGTCGATTGCATCATAATTAGTTTTTGCCACAATTGGCAGTCACATCACACTCTGATCGGCCAATTTGTCATCATCGATAAGAGTGACAACCCTGTTCATTCTAATGTGTCTCAAAATGTGTCATGTACTGAGAGAAAAACTTTATATTGGTAAAAAACTGTTGTGCCTTCTGAGCCTATATGACATTTTGACCACCCCATGATGATGAATATTGTTGTCCATATATAGGCTGGAGTACATACCACGATAAACCACTATTGATTTGTTAAATTTGATGTTGACATTGTCGTAAAAAATAATCAACAGTGGTTTAGCATAGTCTGTGCTCTTATCTACAATGATATTTATCGCCACAGTGATCAAAACGTCGTGAACTCACAAGGTGCAGCCAATTGAGTCCACAACAAATAAAAAAATAGAAAAGTATTCATAATTAAGGTTTAGAAATTGTACAACACAAGCTTTAAGATCAAGGGCTTTTTATAAATGTAAAATTATAAAGATAGTTGATTGAAGAGAAAATGTTATCACAAGATCTTTTTGTTTACATTTGATTGGTACGTACACTGTACCAATATACCCCCTCATCCTCACCCCTCCAGCATTGTGTTTGTGACCATTTTGAAATCCTGCATTCAGTTAAATTTCGTTGATGTTCTGTCCCTCTACAATATGCATATCAATGCCTATGTTTAGCAGGGATCCATGTTACAAAAATATTTTAACCTAGTATTGACAAATTTAATGTTAAATAGAGAGAAGGGTTTTTATAACATGAGCTAACTCACCCCTGCACCTCTATTACTTCCTTTAAAGATACTCCAATACCAAAGGTCTGGTCCAGGTTCCTCAACAAGAGTTTCTGCAAAGGAGAATGGGAAACTCTTACATGCACAATGAACTAAGAAACAAATAAAGCACTTTGTCATGGTTTCAAATACTGCACTACCATCACATCAAAGACTCTACTTGCATTTTAATAACATATGCCACAAAAAGAAGTTGCAAGGGAAACTTACAATTATCAAAGTGTTTGTCAAAGGCTAAGAAAGACAAACAAAGACTGGAAAAAGTTGAAGTATGAGGGTCTAAACTCTGTTTCCACAATCCAGCGCTTTCTGGAAGGAAACATTTAATGATTCAGCTCCAGTGCTCTACTTTGCTTCTTGATATTAAAGTTGTATTATTTAAAACTGAATAAACGCAAATAAATTGCCTTGGGAAGCTAAGGTTGCTTGGCTTGATCGAAGTTTGAAAATCCAACACACTGAGGTTTTCCTGTTTGATTATTTTTAATTGCTGAACCAATTTGAAAGGTAATCAAAGAAGGAAAGTTCCCACACACTCCATTAATATTACATTCTTATTTGTCAATTGGCTATGCTGTGAGTACACAACAATGACTTTAGGAAAGCCTTTAACCATGACCCTCTGATCCACAGTACCACATGCAAATAAACCATTAGGTCAAAGTGTGCTACATTACAATTGTCTTGCCTGCTCTAGCTTGGATGAAAATTTATCTCCAGTAAATTATAATTTAACATTTCTTTAGCTTAGTTTGATTGGGAAGATGCACTGTCAAATGGGTTGGACAAAAAAACTCAGTAGGCATCAAAGAAAGAAATATATATATGCAAAATAGGCAATGTAGGATCCAGGACACTGCTCGACAATTTGCTACTATATATATATAAATATATATATTAGTTTGGCATGGCTTAGACGATACCACAAAGGTTGGGTAGTTTGGGGTGACCATCTCGGTTCTCCCCCATCCAAGCATCAGCACTGCACTGATGAGATAGAGATAGATACTTTATTATAAACACCTTGCAGCCATGGGCTGAATTACGGAATATTTACAAATACAGATGATAAAAAGGACGTATAAAATATTACAACTTCGTCATTAAGAAAGAAGGAAAATGATCTACATCTTATAAATATGGCTAAAAATAAAACTGTTCTTCAAGCGCT